GTGAGAGGAGGCCAAGGAAAGCAGAGGAAAGCTGATTTCCCAGAATTAAAGATATCCAAGCAGTTCAGGACATCACGTTAATTGTTTTAAAAAAACCTTCACTTATGTAATTATATACCCACAGTCACCATAAAAACCAGGACAATAAACATTTCTTCCGGACAATTCAAGAGAATCTGAAACAGAAGCTGAGGTTACTCGTTCTGTTTCAGGGACCAGAGTGAAAGAGTGAACATACAAACCACACACACATCACCACGGAGGAGGAAAGTGTGGGGACGTGCTTCTCGAGGGAAGCGTGACAGGTGGGACCAGAGACCACTGTCCTGTGGTCACCTGGTCTGGCTTTTGGTTAGCCTTCGAGTGAGGCTCACAGGAGTGTCGAGGAAGCCAGGAGAGGACACAAAGCTGCCCCCGAGTGCTGGGCAAGCAGAGGGCTGTCCACACCACGTGGTCTGCAGTCCACAGCCCCACAGCGGGCTACTACTGGGTGTCCCCGCGTTCGTTACAGACCTGCCCTCTCACCCTCACTGCTTCCCAGTCAACAGAAGAGAAGGCACAAGGTGATGCTACTTATTCGCTAGTCCAGATAACACTAGGAATAACTTTAACACTGTGATCTTTTAAATAGCCAAAAAGAAACATTAAAAAGGACAATGAAAAATATTTCCATAAAATTTACTTTGAATAAAAATGGTTTCACTAACATTGAAACATCCTGAAAAGGAACATATGCACCTGCCATGAACTCCGACGGCGCTGACACACCCCCGTCCACTCCTGACTCACCTCACCCCTCCACACAGGACAGCGCTCTGCCCATGGGAACCACTCATGTGTGTGTTCACCGAAGTGTTAACATGCCATAGTATATTCCAGACGTAAATATGTAATGCATACTTATTAACCAGGTCAACTGTCTTGTTTGCTATTGTGTTGCTTAATGATTAACACAATAAATAAAGATTTTATATATGCATTGTTTTACTCTAAACTTAACAGAGCAGAAACTTATCAATAGAATTTGGGGCCTCTCAGAAGTCTGGACTCGAAAATGTAGAAACAGATAGCGGAAACAGACGTGTACCCACCACTCCATTTTAAGATTCAGGCACAGCCTCGGCAATATACTTCACAAGACTCCAAGGCAGATGCAAAAACCCACAGACGAGCCAAAACTCAAGCTTATCTGTCAAGCATCTAAAGGGGTCAATTAATACTTTATCCTCCTCTAAGGATTGAAGAAATAAAAAGAAAACTTCAAGGACACTGAAGAAATTTCTCTTATCTCAGTTTTGCTGAAGGTTGGGCCTGACTCCCAAGTACTGTCTCTGAATAATTATAACCACAGTACCTTTAAAAATCATTCGGCATGCTAATGCTACCCTGTGACTTCCATGTCACTATTTTGAAACCACCCCTTCCAAATACTTAAAGACTCAAAAGATGTAACAAAATACACATAAAATGTAACAAACAGCTATCAATTACCTTTGAGTATTTTGCCTACGTAAAACCTCTACGAAGTTCATAAAATGGGTTTCTCGGGTATTTTAAATACAAGATATCATAAATTAAAAAAATCATACTATGAAAACATAGACTAGAACATTCTTAACAGCTCCACACTGAAAACTCCCCCACTGCCTGTGGAGAGTAAGTTCACACACTGGATACTAGAGAGCAATGAGCAATGACCTACAGCTCCACGGAACCACACGGGGACTCTCACTAAGATGATGAGGAGGGAGAGAAGAGAGACACCAAATAGTATATGCAAGATTTAAAAACAGGATGAAGAAGCAGGTGAAACTAATCCACAGCATTAAAAGCCAGGAGACTGCTTCTCCTGAAGGGGACAATCAGACAATATTTCTGTTCTGGTAGGGGCAGCTCTTATCTCATTCCATCCATGATTGACAAGCGTGGTTTCAATATCATAGAATACCTGTGACTGTGATACTTCCTGTTGAAAAAATCTGTAACGTAGCTCTTAGAGATTTTATCCGATAGCACACAGCAGGATGAAGTTCAGGTTCGTAACTACACAAAAAAAGACAATTAATATATGTATTTGTAGCCTGATGAGTAATTTCAAATTTGGTTAGTTATCTTGATTCTTCAAAGACCTACCTGGCATGAGGTCTATTGTTCTTTGTGAATTCTGGCAAACGGATTTCAAACGGCATGTTACATACCGCCAGAACGTTAACAACCTTAAAATCTGTAAATATTACCTTTAGGAGAGAAGTAAAACTCAATGAATTATTTTGAAACAAAAAATCTGCTCATCAGGGCAATCTTAATAATTAAGTTCCAATCCTTAAATGAGAGCAAATAAGATAAAGCAAACATCAGAAGCGTGGATTTAGTACTTTAAATTATCTGTAAATCTGTAATGTTATAATTAAAGGGGAAAAAAACCTCAAAAACTTCACTAAAAAAATAAATAAAGCCTGAGATAATCACAGGATTAAAACAGTACCTCTGGGGTCTTTTGAACCTTAGATTTAGTTGAATTTTTTAATACTTTAAATGGAATATTCAATCTACTAGGATAAAAGAGAAAATAGTGAGGACAAAAATTTAAAGCAGAGTCCTCCTTAAAAAGTCAAAATGGAAAAGCTGTCACTTAACACTCAGTAACTAGTGAGTGTGCCCTGAACTCTGAGGGTCAGACCTGCCTCCAGGACGGGTCGGTGAGCTTAGATGTTGGATGTTGTGTTCCCTTGGGGGAGAGAGTGATAAAAATGTTTATAACCAACTAGGATTTCTCTCGACATTTCTAATATTACACTAAGAAAAGAAGCTCCAAGGCTGAAAATAATGTCCTCTCAATATTAGTAACTTCAGCCACTCCTAGCAACATCTCGAATGGTCTTATCCCGCTATCTTTTCACATGTTCCTGTAAAACCGCAATTCTGGATGAACCAACCATCCTCCAACTCAGGGCCGGCACAGAGCTGGTGCAGAAAGTCATACAGCCGTGCAGAGTGGCCCACCAGCACCCAGGGCTCTCCACACGGCCGCTCTCCTCCAGCACTGACAGCCCCTCCCCGCACCTCAGTGCCTCTGTCACCTCTGCCTCAGAGGAGACGGGGTCACGAGAGAGCAGCTCAGCCCCCATCATTTCCCATCCAAATCCGAAAGGGCCCAGGCCCACCTCTGCAGAGCGCACAGCCCACCTTCTCTTTCTGTCATTTACTCACCACTCGCAAGTGACCCAGCAAGTCTACAACACGTACTCATTTTACTCAAATTTCTGCTTCTACGAAGTTGTATTTGGTAAGACTGACCTGCCAGCGATGGTGACCTTTCTACGAGTGTGAGAGCCTGCCAGCCAGTGTGTGCATGTCCATGGGGCTGCAGCTCTACTCAGCCTGACATACCACTCTCGACATGATCACAAGGACGATTTTTTTGGTGAGAAGTGACAAAGCTGAAGAGTCGACTAGACAGTTACCTTGTGAGGAAACAAGTCTGTCTCCGGGGAAAGGGATCTGGGAAAAGCCAGGACCCTCTACAAACACCCACGGGGGCAAGTTTTACTACTACATTTTTGTACTGAAAGATAGTATAAAAAGCCTAGAAAAAGGTCAATCATAAGAGGAGCTTCTGTGGGGCTTTCTTTAGTCTATTAAACGACAAGTTTTAACTTTACAAAAAGAAACGCTTGAACGTCTGCAGCTTGGACGCTCTTCAGAAAGTTACCTGGAAGCCCAGTTTCTGCAGGCTGCGCGCCAGCCGCCGGGCGCCGAACTTCGCTTCTTCCTCACTGCGGTTTAAGGAGAGAAGACCGCCGGTCACACGGGTCAGTCTACACCGAGGGCCATAACTAACTGTACACGCGGCTAAATCTACGACACTCTCCTTCCCGTGAGGAGAGAATTAAAAAACAAAGGTTACAAACCCAAGCAACATCTACCTTGTTGCTCCAGTGCAAATAATTTTTCCTGAGGACCAAATTGTAGCTGTAATTCTAGGTTTTCTAAGCTTCATTAATACTTTCTGCAAAACAAAACAAAACAATCCTCGTTACATGGTAAGTGTTAATTTCCACACGTGGTTCTGCTCTGTGGCCATCTGCATGTTGAAATGCCACTCCAGGCTTACCCAGGATTGAGGGAACTCCTCTCCAAATTACCATTCTGAAATCAAGGACCAGCTGAACACAAAGAGCATTTAACCCAAAAGGACACTTAATCAATTAAAAGTACAAGGTCTGTATAAATCTCTCACCACACACTTGAAAGCAAGATATTACAAGTACGTCAACACTTCAAATTTCACTCCCTTCGGGTCACATCACTGGAATGTGCCACCTGCACGGATCCTCACGCACGCCAACCTTGTTCCATGCCTCAGGAGCTCTGCAGTCACTGCTGCTTTCATCTGGAATACTCTTCCTTCCATATTCTCACTTCATCCAGGTCTCCCACCAGATGCCACCTCCACAGAGAGGCCTTCCCTGACCATTCCACCAAAAGACCCCTCTCGCTGGCTCTCTAACTTCTCACCTGCTTTATTCTGCATCATGGTGCCCATCCCTACTTGATATTGTGTCTCACAGTCGAGATGCCTCTTACATATTCAAGTTCGATAAGCAAATCTTGACTGTAGGAGAAATGTTGGAGCTGGAGATGTAATTTTAGACTTCTTAGATATGAAAGACATTTAAAGCTACGGGTTTGAAGGAAATTACCTACAGACTGAGGATAAATAGGTCAAGGATTAAGGTCCAAGATAACATGTGAGTTTAAATTTTCATTCCAACTTTTCTTTCATGAAATATGAAATATTTGCTGAATAATGTAACAAATAAATGAATCAGATGTTGCTCCTTAAGAAGCATGTTACATTTTGAGCTCCTCCCTTCCTCTGTCACATGCCACATTATCAAACTAGAAAGCTATTAAATCTGAGGAGACAAAATTTACCAAAGATCCAAAATAAAATGTGAGCTAAAATACATTATAAAAGTTCATACACAAGTGGCTGAGGAACCCTGGACTGAGCGTATTGTACATTTAACTGTCTTCCACCACTAGCTTGTCCATCAACTCAGATTTTTCAGTTAACCTTCCTAAGAAAAACGACTTCACCGCCGTAGGGCATGCTGAAGTTTCAAAGCAGCATCAGGCACTTTCCTCTTTTTGGACACATTCATTCCTTTTTTAGAGTGACAATGGCATTACTGATGACAATGGCATCCTGAAATCTTTAATTGTGAGTCTCTGAAATTTTTAATTGAACTTAATTCATCTTCACTTAGTTTCTAGTACTAAGAACTAATGATAATTTCCCACGGTATACTGGCAACTATTGTTAGAGCTTAAACAGAGTCTTCATACACAGTCCTAATTTTCACAATAAACTTATAGTAAGATATATATCTTAGTACTCTTTGGTTTATAAAATCCAAATGAACATCCGTTGTCATTTATATTGTTAATCTCAAAACACTAAGGTTAAAAGTAACTTACTAGCTTTTATTTTAAATATTAAGAGTTTAACAAAAACTAGAATTCGAAATGTCCAGGTTAGGATATGAACCATAATATTTTCAGCAATTTGTTACTAAAGAATACCAACTAGCTTGGCCAATTAAAGAGGGGTATGACATCGTACTACAAAAATTACTGTGTGTGTGTATATGTATGGGCATCACTCTAATGTAATGATATTCGAATGAGTACACATGAAAGTCTAGCTGTTCCCTCCTGCGTTAACAGAACCTGAGGGCTCAGCGGCTGTCTGGGGGCCGGTGTGTCCTGCGGCAGGGCGTGGAGACAGGTGTCTCCAGAGCGACTGTCCTGAGGCAGGGCCTTCAGCAGGACCCCACCGACTCCAGGACACTGAGCGCCCCACCAGGGGCTCATAAACTACCTGCAGGGAAACACAGTTTATGTGATCATTTGGAGCACTATAAAATGAGCTCTGTAGCACACATACCAGAATTCAGATACTTACTCCAACATCACGCTTATAAATTACATTTGCCCCCTCCAAAGCGATCTTCCTTAAGTTCAAATGGCATCTTGTTCTAAAGACACACACTACGTTTGTAATTAGAATGTCCAATGCAACATCACTGTCTGCATCCATTGGGGTAGCTGGAAAACTCGGTTTCCCACCACGAAGATCACATCCTGAGAAATAAAACAAAACAAAGTCAGGTCATGAAACTCAAATGTTTTGTTAATTTATTTTCAACAAATAATCCTGAAAACTAAAATGCAAGAAATGAATCTATTTTATTTTTCTAATGTTACTCAAATCAAATCATGTCCCTTCTTTTTCCCACTAAAAACATCATTTTTTAAAAGGTAACATGTCATACAAAATCCTTCAAAATCTGGACCTAACTTTCATTCCTTAAAATTAATCAGTAGCTTTTCCAGGCCAGGAGCTCACCAGACTTGTCTCCTGCTTCTGGCCTTTCACAGCCACGGCCGTTCCAGACACCACCTGCAAAGGCGGGCTCTGCGGTCCCAACGTCCAACCAGCAATGGTACCCTACCCCCTCACACAACTTGCCAGGGCTATAAAAAGCATAACCCATTTTTCCTCTATTTTGGGTACAGTAATTGACTTAAGCGTAAAGAAGCAGAAATATTAATTATAACATTTGCTAACTGACTTTCTCATTTACTAGTCATTCAGCCACTATTCCCTCACTGAACACCTTCTATACACTGAGAACACTGGAGAAAAAATGAATGAGGCCAAGCCTCTTGTCCTCAAGGGGCTCACAGCCTATGTGTGGAGGGAGGAGCTTGAATAAACGGCATGACACCATTTTTATCAAGACCACACTCTTCCAAAATACGTGTTTTCAAAACTATGATAGGAGCATCTCTATGAATCAACCAACAAACAAAATTGAGCCCTTCACTAAGCATGTGACCCATGTCCAGCTAAAAAATCCTCTCTTTGACTGGGTTTCCGCACCTTAAAAAATAAGTAATGGCAACGCAGCTTACCTAAGGCACAAAGAGAAAATCAGAAAATCGTAATACTACTACTATAACTGTCTTCAAGATCCCTGACGGCCACAACATGAAGGGCTAGTACTCTCCACGGGGACTCGAATTATTACATGACTAACACAACGACCATGCCAAGAGTCCAAGCAGAGGACACCCGATCCTGTTTTTCTGCCTTCTGGCGTCTGACTGAACAAGACAACAAGTGAGACCGAGGCTCCAGCTCCTCTCCAGGATCAGAGCATTCCGTCCTGTGTGCCGAGCGCACCTCAGCGGCATCCTATGTTCTCCCTCTTATATTCCCTAAATCTGTGCATCTTTCCGCTTCTCTGCTCCCTGTGTCTGTCTGAGTAACCTCCAATGATCTCTGTGTACGGGTGGGATGGGGTGGCCATGACAGAAACAGAGGTGGACAGAAGCAGGCCCCAGTGCTGATCTCAAGCAGCAGGCTAGCCCAGTGTGTGTTGTGTGATCCACCTGTGCCTCGGTTTCCCCATCTGTGACATGGAATAGATGGTGCTTACTAGAGAAGTGTTGAAGGGATTATACAAGTGTATGAAAAATACTGTGCACATGTACCTGGGAAATAACACAAAAATGACAGTGATTATGAATGAAGTCAGTTCAAACCAACAGGCAGAGCAGAGATTGCTTAGCATCACCTCCCATGATTAGATTCTAACCCAGATACTGAGCCATCTGGACACCACCAGGTTTTCTATGTTCCCACAAAAATTGTGAAATAAGTTTGAGGAGGAGGCTGCTAGCTGCTTACCCCAGCAGTCATTCCACCCTCCTTCACAATGACTAGAACCAGGCGTCTAGCTGGGTATGCCGTGGCAGAAATAAAACACATACTTCTTAGGCTCCCTGGTGACAGGTACAGCCAAGAGGCCATGTGACTCTGCACTGGTCAATGAAACATAAAAGGGAACGGTTTTGTGTCGTTGGGAAGTGTGGCTAGCGGCAACTAAGCCAGCAGAGACCCCCTTTGCCTTTCTGCCCTTCTTCATTCTTGGTGCCTGGAGTTTGGACTTGAGAGCTGGCATTCAAGTAGCCATCTGGGATCACGAGACTATGAGGTAAGGATGGTTAGAACAGTAAGGCAGAAGCAGCCTGAGTCCCGATACCGTGTAGCTCCTTATTTCCCCGCATGTCCTAATTCCAGACTTCAGGAATTAGAGAGAAAAGTCAATTTCTATCTTAAATCTCTCATATGTTGGAGTTTTGTAATATGCAGCCAAACCTAATCCTGATAGACATCCCATGAGAACAGGCTACAAGAAAGCATTCCTTAAGGAGAAACTACATATGAGGAAACCATGTCAAATTCACTGCTGCACGCAGATTTTTTACATCAAACAGGCTAAAACAAATGGACTCAGATCTCCTACTCTGAGTACTAAACTACTCACTTAGGACAATGTAGGAGGTGAGAGTAAGTCAAGAAAGAAAGAGTAAAGCAAATCTTTGTGAATGCAAAAAAGCCTTGAAATTAATTCAAAATTGCTGACTGTTTCTATACTGCAGCAACTTGAATTCTAAAAATGAGGTCGTGGGCAGAGTTCATCATAAATTAGGAAGTCTTCGTATTTTAGACAAGCAACCTGGCAAGCATCTCAGAAAACATTATTACTGTAGGAAGTTTCAAATCAAGGATATAATATGAAGAAGTCGGTACTTAAAAAAAACAGGCATTCGACTCGAAAGCCTGCACGTTTCTGAAGCGGTATCAAAAAAGGAAAGACCCATTTGCAGTTTATCCACCTTGAAAAACAAGAGAGTAGTACCAAATACTAATAAAGATTCACTCTGAGAGCCGAGCACGTCACATCCCTCTGAAATACGACAGCGGCAGCCCAGTGGGAGAGACCACCTCAATTTCTACAGAGCGTCTGACAGCCTATCACATCCCTTCTAATTGCTTTTTTTCTTAAAGATTGGCCCCGTGCTAACATCTGTTGCCAATCTTCTTGTTTTTTCCTCTTCTCCCCAAAGCCCGCCAGCACATAGCTGTATATGTTAGTTGTGGGTCCTTCTAGCTCTGCCAGGTGGGACGCCACCTCAGTACAGCCTGATGAGTGGTGCCATGTCCGAACCCACGAACCCGGGCCACCGAAGTGGAGCACACAAACTTAACCACTCGGCCACGGGGCTGGTCCCAATCCCCTTCTAATTTTAAGTGTAGCTAAATAATTTACCAATGGGTAGAAAAGGTCCACCTGAGTAAACTTTATTCTCAGCATTAAAAAGGAATTGATTACCCCTAAAAGTAGTTCAAAAAGCTTAGGTTATTCCTGAAAATACACACACACACAAAACTTCCTTAAAATAAAAAATAACCAAACTGCCATAGGAAAGATGGGGGAAAGTAATTCCCACTAGGGAAGAAATATTCCAAACTGCGACTATTACGGTACCTACAGTTAAACATCCGGATGGTCCACTTCACCTCCTACATCCCGACCCTCCTGAGGTCAAAGAGCACGTCTGAAAGGCTGAGCATCCCCTCGGCCCAGCACCTTAGCTGGCACATAGTAAATGTTCAGTAGTTGTTTGGTGAGCGAAAGCTAGAAAGTCCAACCTCTCAATCTCCAGTCTGCATCAAATTTCTCATCTATCTAGAATTCCAACTATTTATCTTAATACCAGGCATGGAAAAAACTTAAGTTAGTCTGCCTGAAACTTTGCTTCCGAAGCCACTTATTTTCATACAAATGCAAAAGAGCTCAGAGTCATCTTCTTCCCTATGAGCCCCTTAACACAATATCCATGAAAATGCATATGTGGTATGCTTTATTATATTTCATGTCGGCTTATAGATAAGTTTTTAAAAACTGGTTTGTATAGTGCCAAGGGGATGTGTTTAAGTAACTCCATAAAAAAAAACAGTATTTGAAAGTGACAATTAAACTCACAAAGCTGTTGAGCCTGCTTACACTAGGGTATGAAATATTTAAGACATATAGAAGGGCAAAAAGAATAATACAATGCACCTTTATGTACCGCCACCCAGCTTAAAAAAATCACAGTTACACTACAACTGATGCCCTCTGGCTTCTCCCAGCTCACAGCCTCGTCGCCTCCCTCTGCAGGAAACTGCCCTCCGAATCAGTGTGTTACCATTCTCCTAAACTTGTTACATATACATCATATCCCTGAACCCAATTACATCATGATTTTAAAAGAAAACACTGATGGATTTGGTGTGGTAACACTTCCTTTAGGACTGACCTGTCTATATTCATAAGTAGAATTAGCCTACGATCCTCGCTTCTTGGACTGTCCTTATCTGGTTGAGTATCAAACTTACATACGAGAATACGAGATAAGTTACACCAGTTTCTTTTTTCCTTTTTTTTTTTTTAAATTCTCTGGAAGACACTTTAGAAGATCTTATCTGAAAATTGTTTGCTTGTTTGCTTGGATTTTAAAAGACTAATTCAATTTAAGAGTTTTTAGACAATAGACATCTTCTATTTCAGTTTTCCTAAATTAAATTTTCCTGGGAAATTTTCCATTTCTTCTAAATTTTAAAATTCACTGGCATACAATTTTTCACGGCTTTCTTACAAATTTTTAAAATCTCTACTGTGGTATATTTCTTTTTCCTTACAGTATCCTTTATCTCTGCTTTTTTTCCCTTCATCAATCTGGCTGAAAGGTTTTCTATTTTATTACGTTTCTCCAAAGAACAAACTATCAGCAGTTAGTTGATCCTCTCTATTAAATTTTTTGCCTTGCGTTTAGCCCTCTTTCCTTCTGCAGACCTACTCTTTTTCTAATTTCTTACACTGGTAAGTAAGCTGGATGTTTCATGCCTCAGTTTTGAAGTTTTCCTCTTTTCTTGTATGAACATTTAGGGCGACTATAATCCAGTGTTTTAAGTGTGTCTGAAGTTGGATATACAATGTTTTCATTATCCCTTGATTCTAACAATATTTAAATTTCCATTATTATTTTTCTTGGAATTACTTATGTAGAAGTTCTTTGCCTTTAGAAATATACGGATTTTAAGTTTACTAGTAATGAGGAAATGCTAACTTAGAAAAATGAGATACCACTACCTGTATGGGCAAGTATCAAACAGTGCTGGGAAGGTGTGAGTTAACCAGCACTCTCTTAAATTTGGTACAAGAACTTCCCACAGGAGATAATCTGGC